AAATATTATTATAATTTAAAATAACCGTTTTCTATTTAAATATATTTAAATAATTGAAAAGTATATTTAAATTATATCATGGAAAAGATAAATATTCAGCAACCATTACTAAATATATTCCAAACTTTTGACCAGTATTGTATGTAAATACAAGTTATGCCCACCAACTAAATTGTTAACTGAATCTACCATTATTAGTGCAATAATGCCATAATGTGTGCAGGGTCATTATAAAGGAAACATGAAGATAAAACTGTTCTAATGTGCAGTTTATTTCTGCCCTTGCAGGTTCACATTCTCAGTTGAATGGTAAGAGCTCCTCTCATTCTTCAGACGTCAACATCAAGTCATATAATAGAAATGTAGAAATACTTATGTGAATAATCTCTGATCTCTTTCTCATAGTTTGTGGACAGGCTCCTCTAAACACCCGTATTGTTGGTGGTGTGAACGCACCTGATGGGTCGTGGCCGTGGCAGGTCAGTCTGCACCGTTCTGGATATCATTTTTGCGGAGGCTCCCTCATCAACAATGAATGGGTCCTGACGGCAGCTCACTGTTTACCTGGGTAAGATTCACCTAAACACATATATGCACCAGTTTTGTTTTAATTGGTAAAAAGACTGAAAGAAAAAAAAAAGATGTAATGATGTCTTAAGATATTTGTCATGCTTGACATTCAAATGCAGTGTGAAAACCTTTGGCATTCAAAGACATTTCGGTTTCAATTTGTTCTGCTCTTCCACATTTTTTATTAAAATTTTTTACCAAATGCCAAAATACTACGACATCAAATAACATTGCAAAATAAAATAAAAAAATTCTGTTTTCTCATTTTCACATTCTCTGACTGTATTTAGTGTCAGCGCATCCAGTCTGCGTGTGTATTTGGGAAGGAGGACACAGCAGGGAGTCAATGCCAATGAGATCAGCAGAAACGTGAGAACGATAATCACCCACTCCTCTTACAACAGCTTCACACATGACAATGACATCGCTCTGCTCCGGCTGTCCTCCACGGTCACCTTCAATAACTACATTAGACCCGTGTGTCTGGCGGCCCAGAACAGCGTCTTCCCTTCTGGCACCAGCAGCTGGATCACAGGCTGGGGAGATGTTCAATCTGGAGGTACAAACACATGCAAACCCATTAATTCATATATGCATTTACTCCTAACATCACTAATTAATGGTTGTGTTTTTGGTGTTCAGTGAGCCTACCTTCTCCTGGGATTCTGCAGGAGACTATGGTTCCAGTGGTGGACAATGTTCAATGTAATACTCTGCTGGGTTCTGGATCTGTTACCAGCAACATGATGTGTGCTGGTTTAACGCAGGGAGGCAAAGACACCTGCCAGGTACAATAAACAAACAGATTATTGCTACACATCTAAGCATGTTCAGCTACCATATAAAGCACTTCAAGACCTATTGTAAATTGTTTGCACTCACATTGTCTATTGAGGAAAAATGCTATCTAAATGCGAGTTGACGTCAATCAGTGAACAGTTCCTCTGTTACAAGCAATCGTGTCTGTATTTGGAGCGTCTTGTGCCCATACAAACATCACTGATCTGCACCAACTCCTCCAGAACACGCTTCATCTGCCAGCATCCATTATAAAAACACTCGCAGTACATTAATTTTGACATGTGTTCATGCAGAAATACAATGTTATAGCGATCAGTGCATTGAGAGCGCAAATACTGTTTGTTTCCACATCAATAATAACAGACACACACTTAAAGTATGATTCCTGTATGTCAGGATTACTTCTGTAATTGTCTTTACCTTGATTACAATCGTCATCCATCAAAACTTTACTAGCGCAACATTGCTTTACTTTATCCAACCGAGAGTTGTAGTTTGCTATCAAATGCTCCTGCATATGAGCCGCCGTTCAGTCTGTATTTCACACAGAGCGATGAGAAACAGCTTGAACTGCTCCTAAACAATCACAGAACACGCACGAGAGAGGTGGTGGAGCTGTTGTTTTTTTTATTTTTTATTAACTTATCAAATCATAAAATTAGTGAATTATAGAATATGTTGAAATTAATTTTAAGTTATCTTGCGGCCCCCCTGGAGGATCCCCTGGTGGGCCATGGCCACCCGGTTAAGACCCCTGCATTAGTTTACAGTTTTCAACATATACAGCTTACCATTAACCAATTAACAGGTTTTTACAAGAGCATTTTTTTGTCTTTTACTGTTAAAATTACAACAATCCTAATAAAAATAATAATAATAATAATAAAAACCTCCTATCTCTCTATTTTTTCTGTTCCCTATAGGGGGATTCTGGTGGTCCGATGGTGCCGATGCAGTGTACAGTGTGGGTTCAGTCTGGTATCACCAGCTGGGGTTATGGCTGTGCCCATCCCAACTCTCCTGGAGTTTACACCAGCGTGTCTCGATATCAGAGTTGGATCACAAACAACATTGGACAGAACCTGCCGGGATTTGTCACCTTCAGTCCCTCTAACTCATGCTCTGCCAGCCTAAGTAAAACTCTCTCTCAGACACCTACACAGCTTATACCCAATTAACAGAGGATACTTGTTTGACTAATGCTGGTTTGTGTGTGCAGCCTCAACCTCCTGTAGGGGGAGATGCAATGAGAAGTACAACAGTCACTTCCGCTGCAACTGCAATACTAACTGCATTTTAAACTGCTGCAAAGATTACAGACAGCATTGTGCCAGTAAGTCCAAACACATTCATTTTAGTAATACTTAATTCACACTTAAAAATGTTGTTGCATTAGAAACAAAATATCACATAATTTGGCATCTGCAAACAAATGATGCTAGTCATTTTTCTTAGCTTCCTTAACTTTTTTGTTTTCTTTTTATTTATTTATTTTTTTAGCATTTTTTGCAATTATGTTTAATTGGCTAGTCTCAATGTGATTGTTAATGGATGTATAAAGTCAATGTTTTTAAAGTGTTACCAGTTCTTTGTCTTACTCGAAAAGTGTTTCTTTAAAATCAATGCCACATGCTTTGATATTTTGGTCCATAATACATATATACAAATCTGCATAAATTTTACATACCCAAATACGTCATTTTTAATTACTGCACACCATAACATACATTAAACATATACTTTAAATGTCCAAAAAGTATAGACCAAAAGTAACTCTTTCTTGCCCAATCTCATGACTTATATTTTTGTTATTGTGTCTCTGCAGTGTGAGGTGTCTCATAATTCCATGGATTATTTGATCACAGGCTTATAATCATGTCACTTGCACATAAATCAGATGATCTTTATCTGCTTCTTCTGCGAGGAGATTTTACTTCAGTGCCACTTTGGATGAGTTGCACAGTCAGAAACGAGCACCAATGCAAACGCAGTCAAAGAACTGCTGCACTGACTTCACTCAGGGGTGTAAATGCATATTGTTTATGTTCAGCATACTGTATGTTTAACAGCGCTTACCTCACTCCATTAGAATCCTTGTCTCTTTTGTTTTTCTCTTTCTGGTTCTAGCATGTAATTATTTAGCGTTAATTGTGGGCATGGGCAACTTTTTTCCTTCATTTAGCATTTGACTTTTCTTATATAAAAGAAATGTGATATAATTACCTAATGTTTAAAATTGATTTTCTCATTTGTGATTTCTGCTGACAAATAAGTGGGTACTTCTTTAAAGGGGTCATAAACTGCCTATTTTTTATTATTTCCTACTGTTCTCTGAGGTCCACATCATGGGTGGGCTTACCCATTTGGCAAAGGTCGGCAACCGCCTTGGGCCCCCAAAAGCCAAGGGCCCCCTAAAATGCTTTTCATATACGAGATGCACATTAAGCGCAGACATGCTAACGGTTGCTGTTTACGGTGTTTATTACCACGACAACCGACTGTGTGTCCGCGTTGAACGCGCTTCTTGTGTATCCTGCTTGTAACAAATGAAAATATCATGCATCTGAAGCTGTAATTAAATATTTAGCAACAGTGTGTATTCTATGTTTATTGTTTTAAATGCCACTTACTCATTTTTGGGAAGGACCCAAGTAGAGAACGCATATTGCAGTGACTTTTTTGGTTGATATAATCCTTAGGTGTGTAAATGTACAGTTGTTTCATACCCTTGGTAAATATGATCAAAGAAGGCTGTGAAAATTAATCTGTATCATTAATCCTTTAGATATTTTATTTTAAAATTTTACTAAAATCTAACCTTTCATTGGAGAATCCAATACTTTTTGCAACCTCCTTTTGCCAAGAGAACAGCTCTGAGTCTTCACCTATAATGCCTGAAGAGTTTAGAGAACATCTGACAGGAGATCAGAGACCATTCCTTCATACAGAATCTCTCCAGACCAGGGGTTTCCAAACTTTTCCTAAAGTGGGCCGGAATCGATGATGTGGAAACACTGAGGGGCCGGATGCTTCTACCTCTCTCTCTATATATATATATACATATATATTATGTATGTATGATGTTGAGTTGACAGTAGCAGTACCACACACCTGTTTACTGTACACACACAACATTTTTCTGTTTGCTATAGCCCCCCTAAAAATGGCCTAGCAACGCCCATGGACACACTTATATTTTATTGTAGTTTATGCCTACTCAGCTCATATAGGACACCAGAGATATCACATAATAACCTATATTAGGCCAAAAAAACTGTAAAGTCATTGTTTAAAATCCTGTTTGTCCTTGTGCCCTTGAACAAAGAACTTAAAAGTTGATCTGATTCACAAACAAGTAATTCTCTGTTTGATGTGTCCTGTATTTAGTGTTCTAGTCGGCTCTGACACCTTCAGATCCCTGATTAAAGGTGGGGTAAGCGATTTTTCAAAAACGCTTTAGAAAACTGATTCGGGCCGAATAGCAAAACAAACTTGTAGCCAATCAGCAGTAAGGGGCGTGTCTACTCATGATGTGGAGGAGAGCGCGTTCAGTCCGAGTCGAGCGACAGAAAGAAAGATAGAGATGGCGGATAAAAACAAAAGAGGAAAACGTCTGCGGAACAAACGAAGGCTTAAGGCAAGAAGGCAAGAAGTAGGACCCGTGTAAAATATTGGATCAGCTTTCCAGTGCTGGAGAGAACTCAAGGAGCGGAAGGCCTGCGATCGGACGCCGAGGTT